AAAGATAGGACCACTGCTGCTCTACTCTCATCGGCTTGCGGGTCCATAGGGGTATACAGTCTAAACGCTTCCATCAACCTCTCTAAATATGCTGCAGGGCTCTCTGTCGGCTCCTGCTTGACTGAGTTTACCTTGGCCAAATTAGTCGGCTTCCTTGCTGCTTCTTGGAGACCGGCCATTAGAATATGGCAGTACTTTTGGAGACGCTCCCTACCTTCTCATTGCTCAAAATCCCAACCTGGACGAGGTAACGGGAACCCAGCGTCAATTAAATTCTGAAGCGTTGTCGGCTGTCCATTGTCTCCGGGCACATTTTTCCTGGCCTCAGTCAAGATTCTCTCTTTTTCTTCAGTGGTGAACAAAACCTGCAATAGCTGCTGACAATCATCCCAAGTGGGGTTATGAGTAAACAATATAGAATCTAACAAATTAAGCAAGCTTTGGGGGTTTTCAGAAAAGGGGGCATTCTGCGGTTTCCAGTTATACAGGTCCGACGTTGATAATGGCCAGTACTGCCAGGTTCTGCTTCTGTCCTCACGAGGCGGGCCTATCGTTCTGAGGGGCAGCGCCTGGACAGTGGACGATGGGGCCTCAGCTTCCTGGGAGCCCCTCTGGCGTGGGTGGAGATCCGAGGCTGGGCCCGTAATGATGGGTGGCGCACTTGGAGCACTTGCTCCACTTCCTCCCGATACTTGTGGAGCCTGGAGAGGGTGGGAAGGTGGCGTAGGGGCATAGGGAGGTGGAGACATGCCACTTTCTAGATCTATCAGATCAGGGTGAGTTTGGGAATCAGGCAAAACTGGTGGAACAGCTGCTCGGGACTCAGGTCATCTCGGTTTCTCCTTTTCACTAGTCCCGAGTGAGGATGTTAACACTTTAACAGAGAGATTCGGAAGAAAAGGTTTTAGCCATGGGGGAGGGTTAGTCACCATATCTTGCCACACTAAAATGTAAGGAAATTGGTCCAGGTGTCCACGGGGGCCTGGCACTTGGACTCGGTCGAATATGTCTGTGATCACCTTTCTATCCAATGAGCCTTCCGGAGGCCATCCTACCTTAAAAGAGGGCCATTCTGAAGAGCAAAAAGTTATTAGTTTATTTTTCTTAATTATCACAGACAAATTAGATCCTCTGGTTTTAAACTCTGAGAAATGTTCAACCATCAGGGACAGAGGGGTGGTCTGTCCCTGTCCCATTTCAACCTCCTTTAGGAAAACACAGAACAAATAAAAGACAAGTGGCCACACAACAGGAGACACCAAAGCAGACAACACAAATATCCGACACCCAGAAGAGATCTCACAGATTGGAGGTGCCTCCGCCCCTCCCCTGAAGGGGGCTACTCTTACCAAAAAGCGCCCACAGCCTGCCTGTCAGTTGGGGAAGGGCCAACTCCTCCAGCGCATCCGCCGGTTTCCCGATCTGGCGCGTCCGCCGGTTTCCAGCCTTTCCTGATGGACCAGTATCCTTACGCAAAGGACATATTCTGGTCCTGCCGGCTTCCTGAACTTCCCAACCTTTCCTGATGGACCAGTGTCCTTACGCAAAGGATGCATTCTGGTCCTCCCGGCCCCTGAACTTTCCTCTATCTCAGGCAACTTCACCTGTTCCGAACTTTCCTTTCCCGGCCAACGCACCAAATGTTGAGCCCGTGTTCAGAAAGGAGTGTCGGCGCGAGGAAGCCACCACTAACACGATAATGCAAAAGCAAAAGGGAAGTTTATTTGCTAGCTCGAGCTAGGGTCCCTGCTTACACCGACACAGCAGCTTGGGCAAAAGACCCCGTGCTCTCTTACTATTACATTTTTATAGGAAAAATATAGGGTGGAGTAGCACCAGGGCAAAGGGGTACAGATGATTGGTTGTTGCTAAGGGGTCTAGGGCAGAACTCTGAGACATGGGGGGATGTGCTGGAATCCCTGACCCTAAAGTCCAGTTAGGGAATAATTATCTAGGGAGGATGTAAAGTCCTGATGCGAGGGAGACTTGCAGGAGCCAGGTAAAGCTCTGATACGTACTGGAATCTGGAGGGGAGATAAAAGCCCTGAGATGTGGGACATGTTAGAATCCCTGGCACTAAAGACTTCTGGTTAAAGAATTACCTGAAGGCCATTAGGACTCAGGCCTCACAATGTCAGATTAATTCCCAGAGTAGGGAACACTAGATGATAAGTACCCACACATTTTTAAAAAGTGCTCCTAGGTACATTTCTACAGAATTTACTGAAATGTAGCTGAGTGGTTCTAATGCCATCATCCACTTTTGCCATTTAGTTGATTGCAACTCAAGTAGCCCTATAGGACAAAATAGAACAACCCCATAAGGTTTCTAAGGCTGTAACTCTTTACGGAAGCAGGCTGCCACTTCTTCCTCCCATGGAGTGATAGGTGGGTTCAAACTGCCAATCTTTCAGTCAGCAGCTGAGCACTTTAACCACTGTGCTTCTAATGTTCCTCATCACCCACTATTTCCTATAGATGTAGAAAAGACTAGAAAATCAAGAATCTGGTGAAGTAGAGAACTCATTGAACTAGTAGATTTTCAGTCTAATGGGTAGAGCTGTGGCATTTCTCCAATACATGTAAGAGGCTATAAGTCTAAAAGGAGAGACTGGGACCTTGTCCTTAGCTGGAGACTTGCTATGCTGGGACATCTACAAGCTGCTCTGCAGAAAAGTGTGGAGAGAGGATTCTAGAAGTCTGATATGTGATCCTGCTTGTTTGGCGGCTGGTGAACAGAGTCACTCATGCTTGCTTCTTCCTGGGTGAATGATAAGGAACAGCCCTTGATGGAGGGTTAGGGAAGAGGTTAAGAATGGTACAACTTGTACTTCTACTGTTTCATGTGATGAGGACCCATGAGTTTCCTGTGGGCCAAGAGGATGCCTTGGAAGTCTGCCAGGGCATAGCTTTCAGCATCACAGCAACACACAAGCCACACTAGTACAACAAACTAACTGATGATATAGTTATAGTGGTGAATATAGTTATACACATCTAGAAAGGTTATAGACGAAAAGAAATGGAGCAACTTGGAGGCCAGCTACTCTAGACTTAGAGAGGTGAAGCAGTTTCTTTCATATCTCCAGGGATTATGTCTCAAAGTCTTTTCTTTTTCCCAGTGTCTTAATTCCCTGCCAAGCATGTTTATTTTCCTGGCCTCTGCAGCTTAGGGTGCTGGGAAAAGCCAGAGAAGACATGTGTTTCTATGCAAAAAACCACAGAAGACCCCTTTCTAAAGTTCTAGGTGTGAAGAGTCTTGACTGAGGCCACCTTTTATTTGGAGGCTTAGTGAAAGGAAACAGACTATGCTGCAGACTTGGGCTAAAAGAGTGATAATTATTGGTTAACTCAGGCTGAGCTGCACGTTGTTTATGGGCCTAAGGACAGCTTGGAAGACTGGCCCTAAAACCAAGTCTGAGTGACTGTGGCCAGGAGTGAGTGGATCACCCACAAGGACTCTCTTGACTGATGAGTGAATTATGATGCAAGACCTTGTCCATGTGAGCCAGAAAGGTGGAAGAGGGTCCCTCTGAGGTCCTTATAAAGACCAAAACCCTTAGCCTTAAAATCTACATCAAGACCAGAATTTTGGCTGTTATTACACACATAGGGAACTGAGCAGAAACAAATGGCTTGGAAGGCATTCTTAAAGCTATAAGGGGATAGCATTGCCAAAGAAGCCAGAAACTGGCCTGCCAAGACCTGTGACAAATCAATCCAACTCCTGGATTCATAAATTGACTTCAGCAAGAAGAAGGCTGTGGAAGTTGTACTGGTCTCAAGAAAGTATACTCTCCAATATCTACTTCAGATGTGGCCAAGGAAGACAATGGACAAAAAGAAATCCTCCCAGAAATAAAGTCCTGATATCTGCTACAACATGGATGAACCTTGAAAACATCATGGTAAGTGAAATAAATCAGTCACAAAAGAAAAAATTTTCCCACTTATATGAAATTTTATATGAAATTTCTAGAATAGGCAAGTATACATAGAGGAATGTTTATTAGTGATTACCAGGGAGAGGTGAGAGGGAGAGAAAAATGGAACTCAATGCTTAGGACACATTGACTTTCTGATAAGGGTGATGGAAAAATGTGGAAACAGATATTAGTGATAGTTGAACATAATGAACATAATTAATGGCACTGAACTGTACATGTGAAATGGCAAATGTTTTGTTGCATATATATTTACCACAACAACAAAAAA